AAGGATTAGTAGGGTACACGCTATGGCCTGTTCCCAGGATCCACGCACCAGGAAGGAAGACTGGGCAGGTCTGAAAAGGGGCTTTCATGCTGTTCACCCTCTCTCTCCCCCACCCTTGCTAACTTTGGAAGGATAGCATATCTGCTATGAAAGGTAATGGCAGAATAAAATGAAATCCTTCTTTAGGATGTACCTTCAGTGTACTTGTCCAGGGCATATACAAGGCCTTTTTAGGTGGCTTTACAAGCCCTATTTCCTTCTTGACACAGAGAGATTAAACACTTTCTTCCCAGACCTGAGCAAAGCACCTGCTCCCAGTAATACTAGCATCAGAAAACAAGCCCCTGAAATTCTCTGAGACTACTGACAAGCTCATGAAATGCTAATAATTGGCACTGATTTTTCACCTAGCCTAAAATATTCCATAACCCGTATTCCTTGTCCTGTTTAACATGGTAACAGGCATCTTTTGACAGCTGCTTTAACAGTGGGCTTTTCTATTCAGCATCAGAAAATCGGATGTGGGCATGGGAAACTTTCCAAAATACCAGTGTTTGATTGCAACTGCTAAGCCCCAGAGCTGCAGCAGCTCACCACCTCTGCCAGCCGTCAGAGAAGCTCTGTTGAAGTAGCTTGCTCCCACCTACCAGCTGCTCCTTCTCCCCGCAACCACCTCCCATCAGCTTTTGTTTGAATTTCCTGGTCTCATGCTCAGGTGATGTCACCATTAGGATCAGGTATATTCAATTCCCCTCAAGATCCTGGTGCCCAGAATCAAGTTCTTCTTCTCCATTTTTCCATAGCAACTATTTAATTTTTTTATTGTTGAGCAAATAGTGTAAAAGGGAGAAATGATACTTCAGTGAAAATGCAGGTTGAGATACTATCTGCTGGCTGTATTTAAACATCACCATTATCATCTCAGGGTAACAGCTTATCAGATCTGACAATCTCTGTGAAGCAAGACATGACACTATGACAAAAAAAAATCCTCAAAATAAAGGTTAGATAATCAAAAAGCAATGTTGGCAATCAGCTGGTAGTACCTCTAAGACAATACTGAATAAATGGCCCAGCAAGACGCTGGGGATCCTAGCAATGCCTATCACATCTTTTAGAAGAGTCATTTTAAAAAGAGCCTTACTATTCATGCCTTTGATATATCTTGTAGAGTTTTGGTAGATTAAGCACACAAGCCCAGTATCTTAGCCAACCACCAGTTTGGATACTAATTTAAAAACCCCGCACACAGTTCAGATTGCAGTTTTTCCTATCCAAAGTTTTAGATGGATATTGTGCATTCATCACTTCCCAGCCTACTTGGTACGTTGTTTTTCTTTGTTACTGGAGACCAACAAGTTCCAGACCACAACATTTGCATGCTAGGTTTTTGATGTGACAGAGCTTTTTCATGCCAGACATATGTACACAGTCTACTAGTGTAAAATATTTATAAAGAATTTATAAAGGCCTAGACCACTAGACTTCATTAAGACAGGCATAAGAAGATGTGGCTCAGTTTCCCCTTCTGAAATATACGGAATATTTACCCCCTCAAAGAAGCAGAATGCTGATTCCTGGCTCTCTCCCACCCAGCTTGCCCAGTGAATTGCTGAATGGTGCCAAACGGTGGGCAGCAATCCATAGGGCTGAGTAGTGCCAATATTATGGTCAGAGGCATTAACAGCATTAATCAGAAATACCACTTCAGGGAATTAAACTTACTCTTAACGCAGAACAAGTAGCCAGCTAGCTTGTTTTCATTATCTCTTCACTGTTTTAACACAGATTTGAAGATGTAACTCCTATTATCATGCTTCTAGAACTTGGAGAAAGACAGATCCATGTTTTATGATAGTATTGCATATATTGCCACAGTAACTCTTTGATCTTCTGTGCTTATGACACCCCAGTATTTTCCCTTAATAAACACTCCTCCAAGCTGACCTTCATGGTTTACACATTCTCTGATCTCTCAGCCATTTCCACAGATCAAACACTGAGACAGGGGGTTTCCTGTGTATTCAGTTAATCAGATTGAGTCACAAGCTTTAATTTCCAATTCTTATTTAAATATACTGACAATCAACAAAACAGCTGAAAAGATTGTATTTCTTTGTTTCCATGTTTTGAAGTGAGTAAGGTTTAAACTGTCCGTATGTCCGAGCTAATCTCAAGAGCTTGCATTAGAGCAGATAGCAAACTGCCAGAAAAAAGGTTTGTCTGCACATGTTCTCTCTCAATAGGTGTCCAAAGCATTTTCCAGGCCAAAGGTATGTGAATTACTGTGCTCATTGCTGGCTAGAGTTGTGGCAACAGAAACAAGTACACACTCAGTTCTGCCCTCCAGAATCTCCTTTAGAACACAACAAATTAAGGTGAGAGCTATTCTGCCCATTACACAGACAGCAGCAGTAAAACTGGAGTCACATATGCAGAGTCTGTACCACTGTCCCTCTGGAGTTTATTTTAAACAATTGGAGATAGTGTGGATCTGGCTGCAGGATGGTCTTACAGTTACAGCTTGCAACAGGCGATCTGGATAATCACAATTTTCTCAAACATTTTGAACAAGTAACTTAGCTACTCCGTGCTTCAATGACATTTAGACTCAGTCAATTAGAAATAAAATAAAAGTAGTCATATGCCACACAAGGGCAAGAGAAGGCATTTCCTTATGGCCTTAAAATTCTACAAGTGCTACATAAACACCACCATTCACTACAGTTAAAATCTGGCAGAATTCCCCTTGCAAAATAGGAGCAGGTGGAAAGACTATGGAAATTACCGCTTCCCTTGAGCTTTGCTGGCTATATCAAGATGTGTCATCCACCCGCACTCCAAAAGAAAACGTTCTCAGTAAATCACTGTTCCAGAATAGAGCTTTACCCAAGAGTGAAAAGCTATCAGTGCAATGGTCAAAGAGCACAAATCCCCAGAAACATGCCAGCTCTCTGGCAGCCACATACTGAGCAATACCGTATATGCCATGGGCCTTCCTTCTACACAATACAAAGCCACCATAATTGCTTCACACTCCAAACCAGTAGCTATGGTTACTAGATACAAAAGACAGTCCTGCTGCTTCCCTGTGGCCAGAGGAATTCCAGGCACTTGGAGTGAATGTACGAGACAAAGAAGCTGGTACAAGGAAGAGGAACAAAAAAATCAGACAAAAATCAAAACATATTTTGACTTTCACATTCGTAGTTTGAGGTGATCAGAGCAAAGAAAATTTAGGGAGGGTTCAGAAGGAAAAAAAAGACTGTTGGGGAATCAAAGGAAAAGCTGAAAACTTTCTCCAACTCTCAGAAAGTACATAAACATCACCCACTGATGTGAGAAAATGCCAAATGCAGTGTTCAGCAGATATTAGCAGAGAAAAGGCACTTTGACTGTATTTTCTGCATGTTCTCCATATTTCACCTCCACTTCTTCATGTCATCGGTCATTCCTGTCCTAGCTCAGTGGAAACCAAACAGGACTTTTATATACAGATACTGCCCTAGCAGTGCCGAGGAGAGGATAAGGAGGCCGGTTCAGTCCAAATCATACTTTCCAGTAAAAGGTTGGACATGTTCCTGACATGACCTTATAATCCCTAGATGACTAAAACAAGATGTCTAGGCCCAGCAGATCTCCATGCACCCATTCCAGAAGAAACAGAGAAATCTGTTTTTCAGGGACCATAAGAAATTGTATACAAGGATGACTTTTGGAGCCCAAAGACATGTTCATGTGAACTTGAAGAATCCCAGTATACTTAAGTATATTCTTTGGCTCCAAAATAAGTTTTCAATGTGGAAAAAACAAAACAAAACAAAAACCTCCATCAGTGTGATAGTCTCTTTTGTTACCTCATCACTTCTTGCACTTTCAGGATGGATCTGCTTTCTTCAAAATTTCTAAGTGCGAATACTCATGTACCGTCTTCTTCCCTCCACATTTTGTACCAGAGGTATCTGGCACTTCAGTTTATTAGTATATTCCCCTAGGTACGCTCCTCTTTTGCCTAAATGTATTTCTAAAGCATATAGAATGGAAATAAAGCTCTATGTTTCTTCTGTATGGGCACAACTGCAAAATTCAGAACTTTTCAATGGAGAAAATGGTTACTATAATAGCTGAATACTTAATTACGTGAAAGTGCACACACACTTTTAGCTCTTGTGAATAAATGCATACATACATGTGCACAGGGAGAAAGACAAAAGGAGACGAGAAATAAATAGAAGGAAAAACGTATCTAGAATGAAATGCCTGTTTATCTTCCAGACAAGAAGTTTTCGGACTTCAAATCTAACTGTGAGTGACATTTTGTTCGGTTACTTTTGCAATACAAGGGCAGATCACAGATTTGATCCGAAGTTACTGCATAGTAGCTGGGTAAGAATCAGGCACAGAAGACAAAAACTTACCCCAAAATAAGAGGAAAAGTGGCAGCAGGAGAGCAGCATTGTACACCCTGGATGTAGTTTTCTTTAATTCCATGACAAGTCTAAGAGTGGCTGTTCTAAAAACCTCAGGGGAGAAACAGTAGTTGGAAGCTAGCAAATACCAGCTCTCCTCACATCACGGACTTTGGCGAATTTTCTCTACTACAGGCACTCGCTCCATGCTCGGCCGACCTGGGGACTAGCACTAACACAGTGGACAGAGTCCCTGTCCACTCTCAAATGCTTCACTCGTGTTCCTGGGCCAAAGAGAAAACGCTGCCTGGATTGCACGGATTGAACTGCACAGAGCAAAGCAACTCACATTTACAGGCACAACAGCTGGAGAGCTTACAGGCCCGCGTCTGAAAAAAGCCTGGGCTGTCAGAGGTAGTGAGAAATTGAAGAACCGGGGGATTCACAGTACAAGACAAAAAGGAAAAAGGACCCTGTGTGGTTTTTCGCTTTCTGTTTTTTTAACTCCCCTTACATAATGAAGAAAACAAACCTGGTGTCTCCTCCATCGCTGTGACAGGAGCTCAGAACTGGCTTGGGGACCGAGGTGGCCGGGGATCATTTCTAGGATGCAGGCTTCTGTATCAGTTCGTGTTTACAAATTCCAGATGAGGATCAATCACAAGTTTCTGATAGAGGCTCCTTTGTTCAAAGAGAAAATAAGACAAAAGACACAAAAAGCGCACTGTTAATCGCAAAGAGCTGAGTTAGTCCACATTAGTCTTTACTGCTATCTCTCATACCTCATGAGATGTGCGAACCCACAAGACATCCGAACCCACAAAATGTACATGAACCCTCTTTTCCCAATTAAGGAACAGTTATAGAGATCAACAGGGAAAGTATCTGCATAACAAAAGCACCAAATCATATCACCACCTTTAGATGCATGTGTTTAGTTTTAGAAGTGGAAAAAATTATCAGTGTCCATTGTTTTATGAGAGAAACTGGAAAAAGACAGAACCCACACTCAGTTGTGACCTACTAAGTACCTCTAAATCCACATCACAATTGGATTAAATTAACCGTAATGAGAATTACGTACATTGCCTCACCCTTCCACTGACGACTAAAAATAGAAGGCAGGCAAGATGCCACACAAATTCCTAGCTTAAACAAGAAATATGCAAGATAGCAAGGAATTGGTGCAGATAGGCCTAGGCTGCACATGATGAAAACAACAGCAATCCTACAATGAGTAATTTATATTATCTCAGCATCCTTGCAGAGCAGACAGAGGCTGATGGGCCATGTGCAGGGAAATGGGATATTTACTGCATTGTTTTTACCTTCAGTGCAGAAAGCAGAACAGTCACAGCAAGAGTGTTTTCACCACCAAAACACTGCAATTCAGGAACAAATGGTTCATCTCACTACCCTGCCTTGGAATGCTCCAAAGATGATATATCATGTGTTATCAACCTTATCTGGACCACCCTGCCCCCATTTTGATCTCTGGTGTCTTCAGTCTGTTTTCTCAAGATCAGCCTCAGTATTAGCTTCTTGCCAGTTACCACAACCATCTGGAACTCATTTCTCTCTCCTTAGATTCTCATTTTGCTGTCAGGAGACTTAACCAAGCACCGACATGTGCAGAATCTTTCTACTCAGAAATTTTTTGCCTCACCTGTGTGAATTATCCTCCTAACAACTCACCTTTTCCAAATCAAAGCAAATACATATGAATCCATTGCACAATTAACACTGCAAGAAACCACCATTCTTCCTCGACTGAATACAGCCACTTTTGTAAGTCGACTAGTGCAGTACTTCGTAACACTTGGGAAATAAGACTATCCATACTAATTTATGGCTTATATGTCCACCTGAAGGGTATGCTCAGCTTTCATAAAACACAATTAGTGTAACAAATCCCCACACGTAAGAAAGTGGGGGTCCTCCCACAGACGCTTAGGTCTCGTGCAGCTCTGCTGCTACTGCTGTGCTGTGTGCCTGTGGCACCTCATACCCCTAACAGAGCCATTAGCTACAAAAGACTTGTTACACGCTAGCTAGACTGAGAAAAGAGCAAAACAGTTTAGCAGAGGTTGAACAATTAAAAAGCTCCAGAGAGGAATATTCTTGGTGTCTCTCAGTACATTTCAGACAATGTCTCAAGCAGTAGCTTCTTGACCTAGTGACTGAGTTTTACTGTGGAGCCTTCATTTGGTCTTTCTGTCAAGTTAATGTTGATGGGTTTGAACTGAACTCCTAACATGGCCAAGATGTCAATAATATTACACATGCAGGAACGCTATGGATGGTACCTCTTTGAAGGTACCATTTCATGCATTTGTCACAGCGGGATTTGGACTTGAGCAACCTGGGAAATGGCAGCAGTATATGGTTCTCAGCCAAAACCTTCCACAGAGGTGGGACTCTCATGCCTGTACTGCTGCCAGGACACACATATTGTGAGTTCTGGGGTTGGAGCAGGTTAGGAGGGATGATCCTCTTGAAAAAAGTGTTCATTTGTTCTCTGTGACCACTGTTAACTGCTAGCATATCCAAGTGGTCTGCCAGGACTTAAGGCTCATTTAGTGTCGCTCAAAACCCAAGCTAACGAAGCCCACATAGGTCAAGACATCTGACTTCCTTATAATAATCAAAATACCTTAATCCAGTGTCTACCTGTGAGGATATTGGAATTTAATTTTTTCAACATTCGTGGTTGCAATTTTATGAGATTTTGCCAGCATAAATGGCAGACCATTTCTGTGCTGGGCCCTTGGGCATACAAAAGCCAATGTGGGTATTAACCAGCTTAGTCCAATTAAAGGACCCTAATACAACTCTGTTAAGGCCCTGATTTGTTAGGCTTGACTACATTTCCAAAGAAGGAGCACAACTAGGTGGATTTGTTATCTAAAGTGTAAGCTCCAAGTCCTTAGTCATCCTTGCTAAAGCCTTCCCCAAACTAGCCATGGTTTGTGCTACCTCCGCATCGCTGCAGTCCAACGTCAGTATAATCTGCTCTTTAACATAGTATTAAAACTAGAGCCAAAGGACACAGCTGCTTTCGTCTGTGTAACACTCATTAGAAGAGACTTAAGGACAGCATAACAGCAAAGCTTCTATTCTCAGCCAGTAGGCAGGAAACTCTGCAAGCCGGAAATGCATGCCATGAAAATGGGGCAGCAGTAGGCAAGCTGGATTAAGAGAAAAGGGAGAGAGTAGGTCTGGGGTACTCAGCAAAGCCTTTCTGTCCTCTTATTCTATACTTTTTTGTACACTTTTCACAAAACAATTCTATACGTTTTTCTACAAACAGTTCAGAATGAACTGGGCAGCAAAGTACCTAAGCAAAACAGTCTGTGCTTTCCATTCGAAGAACAATGTATGCTTGCATGAGTTTCATGGTCTTTCCTCACACAGGGCTTAAAATAATCCTAATATTACAGACTGGATACTAGAGCTTAGATGTGTGATATGACGGCCAATATCACAGACAGAAGCAGGTAAGAATAAAGGCATTCCTATCTCCTGTCATATGCACATATTGTACCTGCCTCAGAGGAGAGAGCCTCACCTTCCCGCCTTACAGTTCTGGAGCCTCACCACTGAATACAAATCTACTTCTCTGAATTGAACAATGCAAGCTAACAGCATCAAAATCTTCTGATTTTTTCCCCAGCTTCATCCTCTGAGGGTTATTAGGCACAACCATAAACAAAGGAGCCCATACTAACGGTGGCTGCAGACTTAGAGCTTGGGAGGTTGAGCTAGTTAAGAAACAAACAAACAGTTCCACTCAAAAACAGTGTGCAAGAATGACTGCTTCAGTATGCTCTTCTGCTCTCAATCACTGCTGAAAAGCGGCAGGTATATTTTTTAAAAGTTCGGGTTTTGGAATTTCAAGCCTACAGCCTCACAGACCAATTCTGTAAACTGAAAAGTTCAAATGCAGTTTGGAGATATAATGCTTGAGGGTTCTCCAGGGTCCAATCTCTAACTCGAAATTTGCTCTTTCCCAGTAACCAAAGTTATTGCCCTTAACATGCATTGTCACCACTTTCCCATCTGGCCACTAGATGTCCCTTCTGCACTGCACAAATACAAGCAAAGGCCATTGTGTGAAAACAGGACTTAACAAGAAATTCTTGCATCACCAGCGCTGCCAAACAAATGCAACTAGACACATCCTGAAATGCTGTAGGACTGTGCCAAGCGGCACACCGAACACTACAAGACCTAATGCAATATCCACACATCAGAAGAGCCACGGAAGAGTTTTGTTTGTGAGTCAAAACTTTAAAGGTGCTATTAAAACCTGGCAAAATCACACAAAACTTCCAGCCTCGAGACATCCTAATTGCACTTTTTAGACACAATAAATTTAGTTTCCTATCATTGCTAATCAGAACTGCTGGCAAGTAAATCATGCTGCCTGATAAGATTATTGAGCATATGACACTGGTCAGTCCTAGCTAATGGCAATGAAACAATCGTCATGTCAAGAAATAGCAGAAAAGTTGCTATTTCTTGCTATGCGGTAACTCGATAGAGTGATGTAATGGATGGTCAGAGTTCTGATCCAGTCTCACTTTCCTGGAGCACAATAATCAATTTCAGATAAAATTGTAATGTTGAGGAAGAAGAGGGTTGGCCGTCCAGTAGGACAAAGGCAGAATGAACATTTATTTATGAAAATTTCATAGGAAATACCTGTGTGGATTAAGAACAAATATAGCATACATATCCCATACACGTAGGTTTGGGGTCTAACTCTTGGCATACACGCAGCCCTGAAAGCCTGGCCATCAGGCGCCATCCTGTGGCAATGGACTCTCACTCTTGTGATGCACCAGAGACTGGGCTCAAATGCATGATTTATGTCAGTCATACAGCTACAAACAGCCAACAAGACCTCAGTGAAATCCTGCCTTAACTGAGAAACTGGGACAACACCAGGTCCTCTTAAGAGAATATAACTTCTACAGAGAAATGACATCTTAAGCAGAACATTTTCTAATCAGTATCACCAGCAATTTCTTGGAAGACTTCCGTATTTGTCTGTGGACTACAGGAGGTCTAGGGTTAGGATTTGAGGGGACAAAATTGAAGCAGACTTGCCTGAAGTCTGAAATCACCTACTCTGCCTTGCAATATTGGCTGTTTGTGCAGAGATCCTCATTATATGCCTCACTCCAAAAAAGAACAA